TTATTATTATTATTATTATTATAAAGGCCACATTTGTTCATTATTTATAAATTTATATTACTGTTATTAACCTTTATAGCGCATTTTTCATAAAAATGATCAAATTCGCTAAAGAAAATTGAGACTTCATTTAGATATATACTTCCTCTCCCCAAAAATAAAACCTTATCTTAATTCCTATAAAATATAATAATAAACAAATAAAAATTTAAAACAATTCCAATTGCTATAAAAATGATAAAACACTGTAGTGTCAATCTTCAAAAAAAAAAAAAATCTTAAATAAAAATTCATTACATTTACGTGTCTTGAAAATTTTTTTTCAGCAAAAAAGCCTCAACAACGCTTGTTTGAAGGGTTGAATATTGTCGCACTACCTAGTGTAGTGAAAAATTACCCAAGGTATTTTTGTAGGTAAAAAGAGACACTTACTTAACTGTAATCTTATCCTAAGATAAAAAGTTTTTGGAGATTTTGGAGTTGCACTATCTACTTACAAAATATTTGTCATAAGTATCCCAAACCGAATAAACCCAATTAAAACGATTGATAGTAGGGTGGTAAGCCTGTGGTGTGGTTTGCGCATGCGTGCACTTTAGCACGTTTTCTAAGAATTTTGAAGGATTTGAGTGAGAAAATAAATGTTTGTTTTCTCCAAGTATACAAAAAAGTTCAACAGTATCCTTTTGTCAGACCATGATACTGTATTGACAAACACAATATGAAAGAATTAGTCTTAAGTTTCAAGCATGGACACTAAGTTTTGGCATTTTGTGAATACCAATTTATAAGCCATGTTTGAAAGTCAAATTGACTTATGTTTTGCCTAATTTGCATACGGATTCAGAGAATGCGCAGATGTTTTTCACTCGTGTCGCCTGTGGTATTATAAGAATTAAAAGGCATTTTTGTTTTATTTTCACAGGACTGCAAACAATTGAAACAATTTATAATATATTTTTCGCGATCAGATTTTTGAATTCAACAAATTCTAGCTAATTTCAAGATAGACTCACCTTTTTATCTCTTGGATTTGTCCTTGCTCGATACAATTGTTAGGACAAGGGATAAGTGTTTCGGGACATTCATTAGCTGAGTGATCTTCGAGCTGATGTCGGAGCAATTGTTTTCTACATTTATTGCATTTCATCACTTTGTGTTCGCATTTCGTGTCATGGTCGTCCATGTCTTTTCTTTGTATTGTTTCCTTGCAGTTTTCATTAGGACATTGTACATGTTGGAAAAGACAATCTTCTTTGTGTTTTGCCAACGACTGTAGCTCTCCTCTCCATTGACATTTCCGTACAGGACTTTCTGAAATTCAATTCAATTCCCGAAATCAAAGGGATTTTATTAGCATGTTCTGGCATCTTACCACAGGCAGCCCAAGCTGTATTATTGGCATGGGCACGCGATGGTATGAAACTTCTGTACCAGAGACTCCTTCTCTTATTTCATTTTCTCTTGTTTGAATCGAAAAGCTGAGTTACGGTAACAATTTTTATGATCACAATGGCAAGATATGCTTCACTGCTAATGATAATTGAATATTCCCCAAATGCATTACCCTATAATAGATTACTTGTTACTGCATGACGGTTAGAGGGAGTTGCACAATAGTACTAGATAGTGTTTCCCTATATATTTCAACGCCAATGTCACTACTAACAAGAAACGATGAGGCAACGTCACGAATGACGTCATATAACTCACCTACTGTTCTTCCTGCTCCTTCGTTTATCTCTGGCGGATCGCACCAGACTTCTAACTTGTGTATCATATTATCAGCGACCAAGTTACGTACGAGATCTTTTCCTTGCACTCTTTTGTTATCCAACGGGCACCTCTCTTGGGTTTCTAGCCATGTTGTAATACAATCTTTACAGAAAGAATGTCCATCTTTGCATCCATAAGGGTCATTGAATACTTCATGACTACAAAGGGGAAACAATGGAACCTCAGGAATAACTTAAACGAATCTTGATTTCCTGGAATAATGACTGACTTCCCAAAATAAATAGCAGTATTTACCGAGTAACTGGAGATAAGTGCTTAGCGCAAGAATGCTATATAATTCTCATGATCATGCGCTTCCCGAACCATGGCTTCTTTTCGCGGGTCATCGACGTTCTTAGCGAGAATGACGCATATCAAAATTCATATTGAAATATTTTAACAACAATAAAATGCATAACATTTTCGGAGAAACCCAATAATTTTTTGAGTTCCAAAACATACGATTTCGAATTGATTTTTGATCGAAAAATACCTCGAGTGGTTAACTTTCAAAAAATGCAATACTTTTATTTAATGAAGGAAGCTAGCTGTGGACTGATTTTAAATATACATCAATATTCATTCCCCAGACAAAACTGATCTATCGATTTGCATATGATATTTGTCAGAATCGAAACTCTAATTTTCTACTGAACTTGCTAACAAATGTGTTAATAAACAAGCTAATCACGATTTGTACATCTTATTTAGTTTTCTAAGCTTGCCGGAAATTATAAAATTAAGTTTTTAAAATGCGTAATATGTAAAAGAACCCAGTGGCATATTTTCCTTTTGAATCGTTTCGCTTCACAAAAGTTGATGTACTTATTCGCCAATCCGTGCTATAGTTGTCAAAGAAACATGATTTTGATCAATGATTGCTTTGTAAGTTGTCCACCTACTATATAGAGATTTTTCACGAGTTTTTCTATCATATCGCGAACGAGCGAGTCCTCGAGCGAGTGAGCGATATGATACGGAAAAACGAGTAAGGTCGATAAAATTAAAAACATTCCAGTTCCCAGTTTACCGTGAAGTGATATCGTATCACTTCACTGATATGGTTTTTATTCACGGCTTTATTACACGGATATCGACCCTAAATGTGTAATAAAGTGTTTTATCTACATTTTTTCTTTTCTAATTTTTAGTTTTTCACAATCATGCAATCTCCGCAACGAATGTTTTACGGCTTAAAGCCTTATCCTACATAATCTATAAGTGCATGGTCTTACATAAAGAGAAGCTTAACATATTTTACTTACCATATTGCACAGATTAGGTTTTYATCGACGCTCCTTAYGAACAGTTYTGTTTCAAAACCCATCATAAACGTCTAGGATGTCAGCTTCTGCTACTTCAATGTACTTTCAATGTTTGCAAAGTGGTAGTTGATGCAAGAGACACGAAGCGTCAACCGTTTACGCATGCGTGCATCTCATTACATGCATTTTTTCCAAAAACTTTAACTTCTAGGAAACCCTTTCAAGTGATCTGATTGGATGAGAACGGGATAAATGCTATATTATTATATGTGGGAAGTTGGAGCTAAGTTATATATTTTTAGCTTTAGATATGAAATATTTCCAGGAAAGAAATATGGAAATACTGACTAAATATGAATAAAGATGCAGTTTAATATTGAATTTTTCACTACAAAATATTTCCACAAAGTCTAGACACACGACGTGAAAGAAAATTCAAACTTTCTATCAATTTTGCATCTTGAAATTTAAGATACCTATTGACCTATAACATTATGACATCACAGCTTGTTTACATGGGCAAGAATGATTGGAATTTAAGTGATTTTTTTTTTGGTTCGGGATATTTAGTACAACATTTATCTGTTATCACCTTATCCCCGTCTAATTAACCATTCTTATTGTGATTTCATTCGTTTTGCTGCTATTTTGCCCCCTCTAGGCGACCATGATCCTTAGCGTTAAAACAATAGATTGTTTTGATGTGACGTCATAGTGATATAGGGCAATTGGATAAGCTAAGAGAAGCCCCGCAAATTAAGCTTAGACCTTATTATAAGATTATAAACTATTAGCTATCAAACAGCTAAAATAAAAGCTTCTGAGCAATATCTTTAGTGACATTATAAAGAGCAGAACACACCATTCAAAAAGCATTACTATATATTCAGCTTTACAACTTTAAATTAAAGCCATTTTTACTCTTACGTGTAGTTCACAACAATATAAAAGTTGCAACTGTAAGACTATTCTAATGCATTCATCAAAAAGGATTACATTTTCTAATGTGAATATTTACAATTAACGTTAGTTAATTTGAGTAATAATTCAAAAATTGCAAAAAAGGCAGTGAATATTAAGACCAATCTCGTACACAGAGCCTGCGTTTCTTTTGACCTGCGGTGAAGAACGAGGGCTCTGGCATAATCCATTTTTGGAGCATGCGCAGTTTTCCTGAAGTCAAATATAATAATTGCAAACCATGCTTTAAAATTGACTTCTGTGTCAACTTTCGATCAAAAAGAAGAAAAAATTAGAAAACGGGAACATATTTTTTAAATTCTTATGCAAGTCCTTTAACGCAATTGCTCTGATATCTTATCCTGGTCTTAAATATTGGATTATGCCAAAGCCCTCGTTCTTCGCCGCAGGCCAGAAACCACCGAATATCCAAGAGATCCTGGTCTCAAAAAATGGATAATTTCAGAGCGCTCGTTTTTCGCCGCCGGCCGTTAGAAAGCACAGCCTCTGGGTACGAGATTGAGCGAAAACTAGCTGAACTTGCGCTCTGGTGACCTGGTTGCACGATTCTTGTTTCTCATTGGCTAATGAATAGATTCTATTACGGAGAATACAAAAACTGCTGTATTGTACATTGGATGGTTAGACTACCATTGGTACTGTTACAGTAGGCTCTAGAAAGTACATCATCTGTGTAACATGGAACCTATTGTGGTTTATCTATCTGTATTGTACATTGGATGGTTAGACTATCATTGGTACTGTTACAGTAGGCTCCAGAATAACGCGCTTCGAATGCATCTATCATCTTAGACCATCCCAAGCTTACTGCTGGCTCTTTTAAAACATGAGGTGCTTCCCGGGAGACATCATCAGTTTCAGGTTCTATGCTTTTCACTGACAACCTTTTGTAAAGCAAATTCATATTTCAATAAAGGGGTGTGTAGGAAATCTCGATCATACTTCCAGCTCACCTGTATATAACAGTTGCTGCATTATCAACATTGGTTATCTTGTTAATGAATTTGCGAGACTTTGGATATTCTTCACTGAATTCGAGATACAGCGACAGCCATCCCACAGCCTCTTCATTTATCCCATTTGGATAGACTAGAAAATTAAGTTTGTGGCCAAGCAGCCAGAAAATAGGGCTTGTGAAGGCAGATCCATTGGTGTGTTTCATACATAGGGTAGGAAAGTCGTTTATTGTCCACTCGTAGCTGGAGTTTATCTTCTGTATAGAGAATACCATAAATTCTGATCAATCATATGAAAATGTAATGACAAACTACTACTGACTAGACTGAATTAACCTCAGTTCTACATAATAGGCCTGTAAACACGATGATAACATGATTAATAATGATGATGATAATAATAATAATAATAATAATAATTAATA